AAAAAACAGGGGGGGGGGGGATGGGGAAATGGCTGGAGCGGGGGCGGGAATTGGCAGTGAGAGGGCACATGGAGCAGCAGTGCAGTGACAGCCGGGCGGGAGCACGGGGCCCAGAGCGAGGCAGCAGAGCATGGGGCCATGGGCTCTATGGAGCCGAGCCGGCTTCCTCCTCTCCCTACTTGATTAGCGCAACCTGGACCCCGCAGTCCTGCTGCTCTGCGCCGCTGGTGCTGGCCCCAGAGCACCCGCATGGGCCCTGTGTTCCTGCCCAGCTGTCGCTGCCCCCCCCCCACAGCCATTTCACTACCCGCTCCCCGCTGTGCTCTGGCATCATGTAGTTTCCAGCTGCGGCACTGGGACCACAGGAGCAGCCAGGGGGGAACGGGGAAGCAGAAGAAGGGCAGCAGTGGCAGACAGGGAGCAAGTGGCAGTGAGCAGGAGTATGGGGCCTGCACCAGCGCACCGGGGCCAGGAGTGGCAGGAACACAGAGCCTAGGCTTGCAGAAGTGCTGGCAGGGGGCTGTGGGCAAATCCTCCCCCTCCACACAAGCCTCCCTCTCCCCACACACTCACAGCCCCCCACAAAACCCATACAAATCTCTCTCACACACACACCCCCCCCCCTATACCCAACCTCCCACAATATACAAGAGAGACTTCATTTTAAGCTATTATACTACAGCTCTATGCACACTACACAAACACATGTAAATCAGGACAAGAATTATTTTTAATGAAATTAATGAATGTTGTAGGACATGTTTGATTTTTAGAACATAATTTCATATTTTTCTGGTTAAGAGATGGCAAAACCTCTTGCTGAAAGGAGTAATTCCAGGGGGCAAGGGGAGGGACTTCTGGTGGCAAAGATCAGGGGACTTCCAGTCCCAAGATGGTGATCAGGGGGTGGGACATCTGTCAAAGGGCAGGGCTACCCATGCGGCCCTCGATGACCTGCCAAAGCTCAGTAAGTGGCCCTCCATCCAAAATAATTGCCCATCCCTGCTGTAGCAGTATGGGGTATATGTGTGGGGGAGACTAAAAGCACCTTTTAGTTGCATCTAAAATCAGTTCTAGAACAAATATCTGATCTGCCCTTCCACTGCCATGGATACTGGCAACACATTTAATAAACTTAAATACTCAGGACAAGTAAAATACAGAGATGAAACTAGAATATGAGCCCATCATCTGCAATGATGTACTCTAACTACTCTTCTTGGTGTTGAAAAGAAGACAGCAACAGAAGTCAATAAGCATGTTTTAGATATGTTTTTCTTCACAAAACTCCTGATTCTTCCACCTTTCTGCCCACAACAGTCAGCTTCCTCCCAGACTCCATGTGTTGCCTACTAAGTGCCCAATTCACCCTCCTTCCTTCCCCAGAGATTATTCCATTCCTTGTTTCCCATATACACTAGGACCGAGCAAAGCTTCAGTAGCCGATTCAATTCGGAGATTCAACCCGATTCAGTAGCCAAATCTCTGAATCCGAATTGAATCAGGAGACCCATTAATCTCTCCAGGAGGAATGACTGGGAGCTTCCTGCCTTACCCTGGTAGGGGGGCAGCCGGGGGAGCAGCCCAATGAGTCACGGCGTGTTAGACCGACTGCATCCAAAAGACAAAGAGAAGTCAAGGGGCCTGGGGGAATTGAGCCATGGGTGGGGGGGAATGATTGGGGGCTGGGGGAACAAACAGGGGCTTCCCCCCTGCTCCCGGTTTGATCCCCCCAGCTCCCCAATCATTTCCCCCAGCTCCCGCAGCTTTTGCCAGAGCTGCCAGCACTGCCTACCTCGCCCTGGCAGGCGGTCAGCCAGGGGAGCAGCCGGAAAAGCTGCAGCTTCTCTTGAGGCTGCCGGCTCAAGCCAGGTCTTGTCCAGCTGCCCTGCCCCAGGTGCTCCTGCCGGCACTGCCTGCCTGTATAGTCTATGGCCAAATAAGATCCTGCACCGAATAGCTTCAGATTCAGCCAAATCAAATCACTGTCCGAATCAACAAATCCGAAGCAAATACTTTCCGCTTTGCACAGGCCTAATAAACACCACATATTCCAGGCCCTGGAATCCAGGAAAAATCTTTATTTTATGCTCATTTGTTCTCAACACTTGTCAAAGTTATGAAACTGCAGCAGGTTGCATTACATTGAGAGTACCATCCAGAGTTCAGTAAGAATGAATTCCACAGCAAAGGAGTTGCAATCTTCCTGCTAGTGGAACACTTCTCATCCTACCCTAACAAATCCTGTATGCTACTGGAAAACCTTCAGAAGTAGTTTAAGTGGCTGAAATGACGTTTGGTTACATATATATAGCTTCTCATGTTACATGCTTGTAGCTGGGTAGACAAGGTTCTTTGGGTAAATCTGATATCTTTTATTGGACCAACTCAAATATATCAAATAAAAGAGATCAGATTTACCCAAAGAACCTGATCTTCCTATGTCCTTAGACCAACACGGCTACAACCTACACCCTGTAGCTGGGTAGAGTACTTAACTCAGCATTACTTAAGTTAACGAAAACACACGCATCTAGGGCTTTTCAGCATGTCAAAGACGCAAACATTTCAAGACAGCCATTCCACAGACTTCTAACTTGGCTTTCAGATTGCTTAACCTGAGATGCAATGTTTGGAGAAGTCATTCTAGTTGACGAGCTTTATTAGCAAGTTTGTACAAACCAGAAAAGGATTTAATTTTTTTAAACTAAAACTGTATTTTGTTGTCTACCCCACAAAACCCAAGTGTTTTAACTTTAAATTGTTTAAACAATATCACCTGCAAATATCAAAATGAAAGTAGTATTTTGAAGGAAGTATGGCATGAGAGAAAAGAAAGAATGCAACGAAAAGTTTACCTTCTCTGTGTTAAGAAAACAGACAGAATTGTTTGGCTCAAGAACTTCTTTCAACCATGTTTCTGAAGAGCCTGTGAATAATTCCAGCTTCAGATTCAATTTTTTTAAGTCTGGCAAGTTAACAGTGGCCTTTGACACTTTCTCTGAGCCACATTCCAGTTTGCCTTCATACACCAACTTGTTACTCAGTGACATAATTTTACTATGGAATTTAAAAACAAGTGTCAAATATTTTAATATAAATTTTAAACTACAAGCTCACAGTAGCAACAGAGAATTTTAAATACCTATTCATTCTGTACTGCACAGTTAGCTGGACAACAGCATTCTTGTTCTGTTCCAGTCTCTTGAATAAGCTCTCACTCATGCCAAGATCTCTGTTACAAAAGTCAGACATGCAGTCTTACAAAGTGCTTGCTTACATTTTGCCCAGAGCAAGCATTTTTTTTTTTTATATTTATTTGATAGCTGTGCATCTTACCTTGCTTCTGCATTCTGTACAAGTGGAGGCAGCTGTTGATGGTCCCCCACCAACACAAACTTCTGAGAACAGAAAAGTGGGCCTAGGCAAACTGGCTGGCTTATTTGGGATGCCTCATCCACTATGCAAAAGTCAAACCGTTTCCGAGCAAAAATTGGATGGTTTACTCCCATGCATGTTGTTGCAATTACCGGCTAGAAAACAAAAAAACAGATCTTTACAGAAGACACATTTTCTGCCCTTTCCTCATTATACATTTCCAAGAAAATAACAATTGCAAATACATATGAAGAATAGCCACCAACTAAAAGTACAATACCAGAAAACCCCCAATAAATCCCTGGAATATGATTACTTGAAAAAAGAATGAAAGAAAAAACTGACTAAGTTTTTACTTATTTTTTTAAGCCAGTACAAAAGCCACTCCAGAGTTTAGGTAATATTACCTCATTTATAATTCATTTCTGCCAGGTATTTAGGAAACCTTGAAGTTTTATTAATATACTTAAGAAATATGCTATATTCCCCTAGAGAATGCTGTTTCCCTTATTATCCCAGGTATTAGACAAAATGTAAAAAAGTGACAACAAGAAATAATCCTTTTCCCCACCTACGTATTCCAGTTGCAACCTGAAGTGAAATAAATCGAAATGTTAAGTTACTTCTGGTATGCATTCAGATTATTTTCCTGCACAGCCTGCCAATGAGAAAAATCAGTGTGGCTTTTAGGATGTATACACTACCCCATAACCTCTTATGAGCAAAACATTCTTTGTGGGAAGGGCATATACAGCTTTCCCTTGATTTATGCGGTACATGAGTTCCTAGAAAATGGCACATAAATTGAATTTGCATAAAGTGAACTCACTTTATAATGTAGCAAATAGGGATAGGTTCCCATGGTAGGGAGGGAGGGAGGGAGGCTGGAACTAGGGAAGGGGCGTGGGAGGGGTGCAGCGCAGCCCGTCACCGGCTGCAGCAGGCAGCAAAGCGGCAGGAACTGTGAGGGGGTGTGGGTGCAGGGCAGGGGTTTCTGACTCTTGTTGCTACAAGTCCCCCAGGAGGGCTGCAGGCCTGGGGGGCTGTGCTGGGCTCTTCTGGCGGGGGGGGAGGATCTGTGCACAGGACAATAGTAGGCTGCCGCTGTAGGCTGGGGCTGGC